GCCTTGAATCTATGTTCAGGCCAAGCCAAAGACCAAAGCCATTTATTTCGGTTACCAGAACCGGGGGATTAAGGTGGGCCTTTAAAATCTTAGGACCTTTGCCTTTTAAATAACATATTACCTTTGGCAATGCGGATTCGCCCATGTTGCCCCCCCAGTTCTTTTAAATTAATAAAAAAATACCAAAGGACAGGACCACCAGAGTTGGTTATTGTACTGGGGAACACAATAAACAGCTATAGCGTGTTTATGGAATACATGCTTATAAAAAATTTACGATAGAGCAAACATGCAGTAGGCGGGGTAGGAGCATGCCCGGTACACGTTTGCGTTTACATTGGCTTGAGTATTGATGCCCTTTTTAGAGATAATCACTTTCATTTCGCGCTGGGGTTTCCACACCCTGGGGTTTCGGTAAAAAGTCGCAAGCCAGAAGTACGGTAGCTTGAAGGCCCAAAATCCTCATAAAAACTTATACACTAGCAAAGAAAAGGCAATTTAAGCAGCGAAAAAATGAAAAGATTCAAGATGCCTTTTTAAGTTTATAGCGAATACTGTTAGGTAGAACTAAGTAGGTACAGTACATGTACATCTTGCCGGTGATTGCTCACGCGGAGCAAATCGGATGAAAAGGCCGTCTTTAAAATTGTCCTCATAATTATGATGACGATTTAAATGGGTGCCCGTCATAATCGATTACCACGGTGTTAATCCTCCAGTTTATCTCTACTTTACAGCTCAAATTCCTCCAACCATCACTGATAGAGCTCAGCAATGCGACTAGCCAACCTCTTCGTGGTGCTTCTAGCCATTTACGTTGTATGCGCTATTACGACGACATCTAGTAAGTCCACACTGGAGACATCTGATGTCAATGACGACGGATCTAAAGCATTGTGGACCCACGATGGTAACAAGAACGACGCGATCAAGAATGAGATTGGCGAAGGTGAAGGTGAAGAACGCGTCGCCAACTCCATAACTGCTCAACACTGGTTCAGCAAGCCTGTTGATAAAATGTACCAGAAGTGGTTCGATTTGCGAAACAAGAAGGGTATAGCATACGATACTTCGCCGGAAGCTATCCGAAAGATGATTAAGAGCAAGCTCTTTCAGACCAAGATGTTTGATAGATGGAACAACTATAGGATGGAAGATATCAAGCGGGCAATCGGGGAATCGAAGCTGAATAACGACGAGGTCGCAGCGATGCTAGTGAATTACGTTCAGAACTACCGCGTCTACATACTTCGTTGGGAAAGAATCAACTAATCGTGCGCCCGACAGGTTGCTTAAAACTGCAACTTAGTGTGAGCTGGACCCGGACATCGTTCCGCGGGGCGATCCCACATAAGAAAGGCAAATAATCGTGATAACGCGGCTCAACACCCATTTAATTATGTACCAAACCTTCCCTGTGTCTGCTGCCGGCAGTGGCCACTGGCCACGCATTTAAGAGTGTTTTTCGTTCTTCCATAATCATGTACTTCGAGGTAATTCAGTTACAGTATAGTGCATGCCGAGCCATTACAGTGCCGTTTGAACCCGTGGAAGTACAGTACTATAATAAGTCAGGAGCTGACTTAGTACTTCCACGCGTAATGCTTGGCGAGCTTGCCAGTGGATGCGACGTCTTGAACAGCAACTTTACCTGCATACTTTACGTGAAGCACAGGAGAAATAACCATAAACATTGCGGGATTTGTGCCTTATGACATTTTCGTATCCGAGTTCCTGAACGCTGGTCCTATTATAAGAAGGAGAGGATAGGTCACCTAATATGTCTAACAGCATATATTTTTTTTTAAATAAAGGCGAGGCATAGGTGGGAACCTGTATTGCAGAGGAAATGTGTTTTGATACAGCGTTTGCTTCCACTGTAATTCCGGGGAAATGAGTGCCTGCTCAAACACTCGAGATACGTCCTCCAGGCTGTCAAGTATCTGCACCATTGGCGTCATCATGTCGCTTTGGAATATCACTCTCGTCAACCGGCAAGTCGAGTCATCCCACTCAAAACATGTCGATCCGTGCATAACAAGCTGTTGGTCTAGAAGTTGCTCTGCTAGCTTACCGTTCCGGTCACTGTTGTCGATGGTGCGCAAGTGAGGAAACACGTTGCGCAGAATGTTTGCCGTGACGGTCACGCGGGTGGTTGTGAGCGCAACGAGCGCTTCCCCTTCCAACATCTCCCACCCCTCGAGCTCCACGTTCACGTCGCCGAACCAGTCCATAAAGCACCAGTGCTGCATGATAGAGTCTGGACCGTATTCTGAGTTGAAAACGACATCAGGATTCATAATATCTCGTATAATACCGAGCTGATTGGTGGTGAGATGAAGTCCATGACGAATCAATCGAAAGTATTCTGCTGCGACTCGCCATATATCATTTGGTGGATCTGCTGCTCGAGACATACGTAGGTGCTGGCAGTGATATTCGAGGCTCTCGACCTCATTTCGCAGATCTTGAAGGCTTGTTTTGAAGGGGAATTGTGAAGTCGGTTGGGCTCCTCAGATATCGCTTCAGAACTTGTTGGTGATGCCTCCGTTTCTCACTCAGGTCAAGCATCTTTTCGGTCGCTGCATAATTTGCTCCTAGTTTCGTGACTCGCGCATACGATGCCGCTGACTGAAGTTGCGGGAATTTAACACTGGAGCAAGCTGTAGTTTCAATTACACTCCTCTTGTCGATGATCCAGCAAGCTTCATCAATCGGTATCGGTGGATCATTATCAGCCTCGACAATGCTATTTGCAAACTACAACTCCTGTAAATTCTTCATCTCTGTCGGTGGGTCGACCGGAATAAATGAAGTCCATGCAGCACTTGTGCTCCGCTCTCGGAAATGGAGAATGCCGTATCCTTATAGTATAGTATTTGACGTTCAAGTCGAGTAGCCCAGTGATGTGACTAATACTGTAATCACCACCAGACATGTTGAAAACGGGGTGTACAAACAGGGGCTAATGGTAACCAAATAACATATAATATTTTTGATAGTAATAGTACTATTTTCGAAATGAAATAATAGTAGTAACTCACTTTTTCAAAAGCTAGCAAAATATTTGATTTTAATTTGGAGATTTGAAAAATACTAGATTCTTGATAATATTTTAAAATAATTTTCACACTTAACCGCAGGTCTTAAAGGGTTAAGTTGCCACCTTATTCTCTGCGAACCGAGGGCTCACCAAAGAACTCTTTCGGTCAGGTTCTAGAACAGCTGTAGGCTTTAAAACCGACGAGTATTTGCTCTAGTATTTCACTCGATAGAGCAAAATTAAGGTATTTGCTCTTCTTTTGGCGATAGCCTCGTCCACATCGTGCATCTAATAAACCTAAAGCCTGTAAAGCTAGATTTATGCGATCAGCAGTGCCAACACACGACGCCAACCTTCCAGTCACTCTCACAATTGTTCCGGACTCCATCTCCCTCACCGTTGATTTGTAATACTTCAGCTAGTCGAACGTTAACGACATCGGGTTGGTGGTTTACAGATTACGCAATCTTTGAAAAAATAATGTCATATAAACTAATATTTAGATGATTTTAATAATATCATTTTGTCTCAGAAGAAAACATTATTACAGGTGGGATTTTATATTAGTGGGTCTACAGGTGATGTTTTCACAATATTAACTTCACCGATTTTATAGTTATTAATAATACCATTGTACAAATCCTTATGTATTTGAGCGCTTTTTTGCACATCACTGATGACACATAGAGTGCTCATCTCCCTTTGCTACGCTGCAAATTGCGGCCTCTTACTGCACTTACTGTACAAGTGCAATACTGTGTAAAATTGTGCATGTGGAGGGCAATACGAAACCAGGTTATCTATTTAAAACTCACATACTGACAGGCAAAACAGGGTGACGCATTGGCGCCACATATTTTATATAGTATTGACGGAACAACGAACTGTCACGGTCTCCGTTCGATACTGTGCCAATAATATATACTGTCCCTTTCAGAGTCCTGAACGAATGGTCATGTAGATATACTTCTGGCGGTGAATTCATACGGCAATAATATCAGTTTCAGAAAAATAAGCATTATACATGGCCTTCATCTATGTCAATTGATTTTATTATAGTTCACTCTCACTTTCATGAAATTTTGAGCAGACCAGAAAATGTATCCAAAATGTACTTTTGATCACAACCAGTCGGAAAATGCTTAGATTCGCCCCTGTTTTGAGTGCTATCCCTCACCCGGTCATTTATTATTTTAAGCATCGAGCGCGTAATATGAGAAGCCGATAGAGTATCTGCATTGGTGATTTGTTGTAATGTATGTTCTGGTGAGCTCTCCAAAGTCTACAGGGCGACGGGAAGAGAGCATTGTATAGTTTGATTCCCGGCTTGTCCCGCTTTTGAAGACCAGCCAGTCATTCACTAGTTGTGACTCATCAAGCAACGCCTCATGTCTGTGGCTGTCTATTCGAGTACATTAAATGCACTCCTGCAAAATTAATGTGAGAACCACTAATGTCTTTTTAAGAATGTCATCATCAAATGTCAAGTCAACAATCTAAAAATGTTTATACTTCGCCATTTCTCAGTTAATGCCGCGACGAGTCGCGGAACAGCTCTTGATTTTGCCAGCAAAAAATAAACAAACGGATGCGCTCTTTTATTTGGTACAGTTCAATAGCGACCGAGTGATACAGTGAGTATTCGTCCGTGATATTTTGCGTGAATCAAGTGTAATTATACACATAATAGAGACCTTGTGCAGCTGTCTCAAAACAGTGAATATGTACAGTTAGATGATATCCGATTAGACAGGGAACATATGTGACTAAAGCCTTGTGCAGGAGTAACATTTTAAAAGGAGCAAAGCAATGGACAGTGACAGCTCCAGCTCTGACGAGGACGAAGTGGTGATTGCTGTGCTATTGGCGCGCGAAAAAAGCGCTCGAGCATCTTATCGCTTCCACTTTAATCTGCCAGCACATGACGTCACTTGGAAAAGAAAATTTCGTTTCGAGAAAGATGACATTTTGCGCCTTGTAGACCATTTCAAGCTTCCAGACCCATTTCCGACTCGCCAACGCTATCTCGTGTCAGCACTCGAGGCTCTATGCATATTTCTCCGGCGTATGGCATACCCAGCACGTCTAGATGATCTAAAGGACCTGTTCGGGCGGGGCGAGGCAGCAATTTCTTCAATTTTTAATGCGGCTCTAGATTATCTCTACGACAAGTATCACAAGTTACTAAGTTTCGACCAAGTCCGGCTTTGCAGTGACACACTCGACACGTACGCAAGATCTATCCATCTAAAGGGCGCACCACTACGAACGTGTGTCGGATTTATTGACGGTACAGTACGCGGTACTTGTCGCCCAGTACGGCACCAGACGTACATGTTCAATGGGCACAAGGTAACCTACGGAATTGTGAGGCTCTAAATAATCGTTTTTGACAAGTTACTTGTTGTGTCTGTTGCAGAGAAAGCATGCGCTGAAATATCAGTCCGTGATTGCTCCCGACGGTATTATGATTCACCTAAGTGGTCCCTTTCCGGAAACACGTCACGATGCCTATATTCTGCAGCAAAGTGGGCTTCTTGAGGCAGCGTCTTCATGCCTTGATGCTGATGGTCATCATTACGTATTCTATGGAGACCCTGCCTATGGCCAGCAACGACATATTGTTGCCCCACTTAAGGGAGCCAAGCTAACAGAAACAACTATTCAACATGCGAATAAGCAAAGTACGCGTTAGTGTGGAGTGGGGGTTTGGAAAAATTGTTCGCTATTGGGCGTTTGTAGATTTCTCGAAAAACCAAAAGGCGTTTCTACAGCGCCTTGGCAAGATGTACGTGATGGGCGCGTTTCTAACAAACTTACACACGTGCATCTACAGTAGTCAAACGTCTGCCTTTTTTGGTTTGAAACCACCAACACTGGCAGAATATCTAAACAATGCATAGGCGACTTTATTGATTCATCTTCTCTATCAACTTGGACATGAGCCCCATCTGGCTAGCCATCATTCCCATCAATTTGTCTAACTTGTCTCGGTCCTGCTGCAGACGCTGCTCTTCTAGCGCAAGCCGGCGCTCTTGCAGGTCAAGCTGTTGTTCTTTTTGCTTCTCTCGAGAGATTCGTGCTTCTGCCTTATTGTCGACAAACACGACAAGAGCCTCCGTGCTTGACTTTTTCTTCTTTTTGTTCGGCGGTGGGGTCGATAGCTCATTTTCAGAGCTTCCTGAACGGAACCGTCGTTAGCCCTTCATTGCGCTCTGTACTACTTCTG